TGGCTCACATCACACCAATTTTCAAAGGAGGTCGACGTAGCGAACCTTCAAGTTACCGACCGGTGGCTCTTCTCTCCATACCTTCAAAAATCATGGAGTCCCTGATATGCGATGGTATAAATGACTATTTACTGTCCTTAAATTTCTTCTCACCCCAACAGCATGGTTTCAGGAAGGGTTACTCTTGTATTACCAACCTGCTGACTGCGGTGGACAGATGGACAAGCATCCACGATCGCAAGGGAAAGGTTGATATCATTTACCTTGATTTCTCAAAAGCTTTTGATAAGGTTAACCATTTGTGTCTTATCAATAAGCTCAAACGATTGGGTATCAGACCACCTCTAATCGATTGGCTTCATACCTAAAAAATCGACACTTTATCTCAGGCTATGGAATGTCCTAGTGGGATACACCAGGGCTCAGTACTAGGGCCTCTTCTCTTCTTGATCTACATAAATGATCTTCCTCAACAGATGACGTCAGACTTATTACTTTTTGCCGACGACGTGAAACTTTGGAGAGAGATACGCAACCAAGACGATATACAGGCACTTCAGGAGGATCTGACTCGACTTCAAAGTTGGCCAGACGATAACGGACTTACCTTTAACACTTCAAAGTGTAAAGTAGTCCATCTGCGACATGTCGCAGACTACAGTTACAACTTAGGAAACTTCTCTCTAGTAGTATCCCAAGTCGAAAAAGATTTAGGAGTCCTGATGCCCCATGATTTGAAGTCCTACGCTAACTGTGACAAAAATCCCTTCCGAGCAAACCTTGCACTGGTAACGTTGGAGCGCATTTTTGGACAGTTTGACGGACGAAGTTTCCATACAATCTTCAATAGTTTCATCCGTCCCCATTTAGAGTACGGAAACATAGTATTTCCCCCTCACTCCAAGAGGATAAGAACACCCTGGAGCGTATCCAACGGCGAGCTACGAAATCAGTTCGAGGACTCAAATCTAAACCTTACGAAGAACGCCTCCATTCACTTAACCTTTACCCATTAGAATATAGACGTTTTAGAGGTGATCTATTAATGGCTTATAGTATTCTTAACACTTCTGGACATCCTCTCAAACACCTACTTAAGCTTAGTTCGAATAATAAACTAAGGGGCAACACCCAGAAACTTGAAACACAACATAGCAAGACGGAATGTAGACACAACTTCTACTCCTTAAGAGTTGTCAAAAGCTGGAATTCGCTGCCGGCCGAGCTAGTCCAAGCGACTTCTCAGGAGTCCTTCAAGAGGCAACTTGACCCACTCTTAAGAACCAAGAACAGCATCACACTATGATTTACCAATTTCTTTTCCTCTTTTATTGTTAACATACCTAGGTTCCTGCCTGGAGGATTTGGTGATCCTCTGCTACTAGAAACGGAAGCCTGTTAAGCGAAAGCTTCTTCTATTCCGTCCACAACCATTTGAACATGCTACTACTCAACAGTGCGGGTATTTCCAAATGGACGCCACGACTTAAGTCTACGGGCTGTAAGTTGTAAGTCATTGAAACATGTCTCACTTAGTGTTACTATCCTGGGATCCCTAAAACGTCTGTTGCCTACGGATTCTTGCATAATTTACTGTCCCTACTGTTTGGCACAACGTGTTCTACAACTAGTCTCCCCCGAATATTTGCCTATTTAGTCACCAGTCAGCTGTGAATCTAAACGATTTCGGGTTATTTCATCACATTTTCTAAAAATCACTCGCGGAGTGCTCTTTTCTTATACTCTGGATATATAAATGCACCTACAACACCTATTCCATATATTTAGATATACATTGCCAGAAAAGTTAGCTTAGCACAGTGGAATGCAACAGATGAACATCAAATCTTGAGAACCAAACGCTTTAAATGCATGCATATATTGGCTTGCTAGACACTACCAAGAACCCCTTTTGTACCTGGGACGAGAGTGTGTTGAATGACTCCCCGAGCTCCCAATTTTGGTTAAGTCCCCAACGTTTGGGGAAATTTTCGGGTTTTTGTGCCATTTCCCCAAAATTGGGAGCTCGGATCAGCAACTTCTAGATCAATAATATGTAGAAATTATTAGGCCCATGAGTCATCGGAAGGGTAATGACCACAGATTTCATGAAGCGCAGTTAAATATAGACAATAAATTAAGTGACACCTATCGAAAAGAATGTCTGTAGGCCGCATTTTAGGTAGGTAGGTGCGGACTATCAGCTGAGAGTCTGCATGGTCATCGTAACAGATGTTTAGGGCTGCCATAGTTCAGCATCGTTTACAATGACGCGTGTTCATCAGGTCTATCTCCCCTTTAAGTTGATGGAATCCTCCTCGCTGATTTATATTTTAATCGTATCATGGATCTCTAATCTTTCCTATTACCACTAATGTTTTCACTGCCTCAACTATTCTGGGATTTGCCCTTACAAATTCATCTCACCTTTGAGGATAGCAGCGTACACTGTTATACACGTGTTAGGTTCTACTTTCCCTTTGACTGATTGATTCTAAGTCCTCGTCAATTAACTGTCGCCACTTGTAGAGATCGTTAGTATTTTGATTTACAATTGTAAAGTTTTGGAGTCATGAGTAGTAACCTTAGTAAATTTGGTGTTCAAATTAGTTTAAGTGGTTAAGGTAGTGTTTCTGCTGATCATTACCGACGAGTGCGTTAGACTTGTTAGTCACTGCAATCACCAGATAGTACGTAAATAAAAATGAGGATAAAATTGCTCCATTTTCCTTTTGCACAGGGGCGACATACAATAATAAGACTCAAAGCCGTGAAAGATTCTGCCCCATCGTTCCAGTCTCTTATTTTCAGCGAACCACCTCATTCCCAACTATACTTCCACCAGTTATCGGCCTTTTAGACCTAGTCGGCTTATTTGTTCGTGAATGTGCACTGCTAGCCTCGTCGCTTTCATGTCAAAAGTTATAGTCGAGTTGCTTTTCCCCATAATTTTCGAATTTATTTAAGGTAAGCTACTGAGTGTCCATTATGCCGGGTTTTACCTTGTATTTGTTCTGAAGTTCCTAAGGCTGCCAACACAGTGCGATCAGTTAGACTTCTCAGAAATGCAATTGTTAAACTACTGACTTTTAAATACAAAGCTTTTCATTGACTCATAATTCCTCCTATTTTTCAGTTACTACGAAAGTTGCCTACTCTTCAATCAACTGAAAATATTCCCGAAGACCTCGTCCCTATCGTAACTAAGTTGATTTTATTGTCCACGTTCACCATGAAGAAAATAGTAGAATGGCTTCTTGTTTTATCTTTGATTTCCGCAATATGGATGTCTAAATTAATGGGGATTATCACAGTACAGTCTGACTGCGGAAACATGATACTCAACTGGTTGCCTTTTCACCTATTATTCATTTTTGTAACAGTTTCCGTTTTGATTATACTGTATCGTACATACAGTTTTAATGATTGTCCAGAGGCGTCCACGGAGCTTATGAAGCTAGTCAGTGAAGCAAAACAAGACCTCACAGGCCGTGGATTTGTTTTTGAATCTTGATTACTAAAGAACATAAACTTAAATATTTTTGCACTGTGATTAAGCTTTCCTGATGTTAATTGGTCAGTACGTAAATTGTATAGTCTCACTTCTGCAATTACAGTATAAAGACATTTTGTACTGTCACACCAATATTTTTGGTTTGCACAATAAGCAGCCTATCGTGTATAAAATCTATTTTGAAAGTTCGTTGCTCTTTTAATTCCATTGGGTAAATAGGATTGGTCTTAATTAAAAGGTATATTGATGAGATGAACTATGAAGATTTGCCCTAAGGCGTTGTACTTTAAATGACCATACGCCCCCTTAAATACAGTTGATTATTTTGGATCCCTCATAGAGTAATAAAATCGACTATTTATTCCACGTACCGTCTTCATATGTAGGGAATACACCCTTTTCCTAAATGTCATTCAGTAGCATGATCTGAGTAGATTGTTTGTGTAACTCAAATTACTGAGGGTTTCACTTCGATTTAGATTAAAAGAGCCTGCTGTTAAAAAACTACGGGTGTGTAACACCAGCCCATTAGTTGAGGGTTAGCCCGCCATACCGAATCAGCCGTAGGTATTTATTTGAGCACAAAGAGGCACCGAATACATATGCGCTACACAAGTCACTTGATTGTGTGTGGGTGTGATACTGTCCAGACTAAAGCAAGTGGTTTTCTTAGAGGGCCATACCCGAATTCTTCGACCTAAAAGTCTAATTCACAAGGCAGTAGAGAAACATCAGGAGATGCAGTCCCATGGTAGTCGGTGGCCAATAACTAGTTTGTACGCTATTTTTCCCTTAGGATCCTGGAGCCCACGCGCACCATTGGTTTGGAATCAGGGTTTTCCTACTCCCGTAGGTGGATCCTCCATATCCACCAACCCGGTTTAAGCGCCGAACATTCTCTTTTCGTTCTCTCAATTTCGTGAACAACAGTCCCCCCACGAGGACTTCCCTGGCAGTGGCCGTATACGCGTGGCCATGTGAGAGCATTTCAAGAGAGCGGACTCTCCCTACCCTCGGCCGTACCAGTGCATTTGTGGGCGCTCAAGGGGGTATTGGCCCCAAAGATATCACAAAGCGAAAATGAGAATCTTTCAGCGTATAACCTGTTGATTCTTCCTTCTTTTCTCGACCCTTAGCCAACGAGTCTGCTCAAACACATGTATTTCGTTTACGAACTGTGTTGATCCACAGAATTGATGTCTTCATTTTAGGTACCGGCTAACACACAACCTCTTTATGGTGTCCATGTTACAGAACATACAGACGCTAGATAAAATCACCATTCTACCAAAGAGGAAAATGGCATGTTCCTGAGATCTAAAGTTTTCCATTGTTGCTCTAAAGAATTTAAAAAACGGTCTCGCAACAACGATACATACTGAATTAATTTATGTATCGATAGAGAATAATATTTAGTTAGCCACTTTAAACGCGTAGATTCATTTTTATCAGTGAAAATTCATTTAATCAGATAATTTCTATTCGCAGAGTACTAAGATTGGCGTAAAAAGTTTTTTTCTGTTACCTAACATGTAATTTCCAAAGAGACTGATACATAAACGTTGTGTTTATTTCATTTATATGTACAAAATTACAACTTAAATTAGAACGAAACGTTAGCTTTCGCGTCATCAGCTATAGATTCTGCAGAAAAGATAAGAAAAGCATGCTACTTACTGTTACTTCTTAAAATTCCCTTGGCTGGAATAACACTAACCGGTGGGGTTAGGGAGATGCAACGAGCTGAGTTAAATTCTAAAATTTACATTATGGAGAACTGTGCAGTAAACCTACTCTTACGAAATACCTTACCGAAGGATACACGTCTTTCAGAAGAAAGCGGAGTGTTTGAAGTACACTTTTCTGCAGAAGCAGAGTTGCCACTTATTGAAACATTAGGAGATATAAATTGACCGACGTTTGGTTTGGATTCATCATCACATGCTGAAAAAGGGCATGGAGAATCAGGAACTACACATGGAACTGCTGTGCATTCGTCAACAGACTACAATTAGACGTAATTACATAAGTTACCTTTGTGGGTATTTCAGACTTCATTCTCTTCGGACGTGATTCTTCGACAAAATCATCAGCTTGATTGCTGAACTCTATATTTACGGGCTAAAAGTAGTTGGAAAGTAAGTAGTGAATTACGTTAGCGGTCTCAGCATATGAACGTTTTTTAATCACCCGTTTTTTCTTCTTTAAAACCTTCGGAATTTTTTTCTTTCCGATCTGAAACAAGTCAAATTTATCAGGAATACTCACCTTAAGCTCTGATGAACCACCTTCACTATTTACATTCTCACAAGTATTGGGAACGAGATTTGTCGTCTATGCGGAGTAAACATAGTGGAACATTCTTTTACCTCAGGTGACGACTCTGCACATAGCGTGGGAATCTGTCCATCGGTTGCTACTGATGTAGTTTCTCTATTTGCCAGAATTCTTTTTAGACTAAAGAAAGCCACTAGATAATCAGGCAGTTAAATTACTTTGTGTCGACTCGTTTTAAAGCGTTTCTATAGGAGGAATCTTTGCTTAAAATATTCTCAAGACATTTCATAATACGATCCAAACAACACTGAATTAAAATTATGTTTAAAAATAAAGGAACCAAGCATACTTGTGGACGTCTTCGAATAAGCTTTGTTATCCGAGTAATCAGAGATAGGACACTGTGAGCGTAAATGTTGTGTCTAAATAACAATGAAAATCATTCAAACGATCTCACTTCGGTAGGGAAGCTAGTAAAACCAGGAGATATTGAAAGACTAACTGCAGAGATAACATTTTTACGTTCTGCCATTCCCCTATAGTTAAAAACTTAAAGACACATACCTTTTTCGGAAGTTCTTCACCTATTAGAGTGCAGAAATGCAATTTTAGACCAACAGCATGATTTATGTCATTGTTCAATATCTTGGTGAAAATGGCCTCCACAAATGAAGGTAAAATTTCAGGTTTTTTGCAAGAAATAAACTGAAGGCCTCTCGTAAAAAATTCTCGTCCGAGCTAGATAACAACGAATGAACTGCATTTCAACTTACCAGCATAAATTTGTCTACCCTCCAGTAATCTAAATTGTCCCATTCTCTTGCTAGTGTTTCAAACATAGCATAAGAATAATACAATGTGACCGTGTTGTCCTCAATATTGGGTAATATGTTACATAACCGGACGACCGTTTGTTCCTTTGAGTAAAAAATATAAATTGAATGTAAGTACCTTCAGCAGCAACTTGTCCTGCATCCATAAACTGTAGTGAAGACCTTTGCAAATGCCTAGCAACTGTTCGTAAGTCCAATCATCTGTAATGGTCGATTGAACGAAGACAATGGTTATAAAAAAATAATGTAGATTTATGTAAATGTAATACATAAGAACAAGTTCATTTTCAAAGCTTCACAACCAGGAAGTTATACAACCACTAGTATGAAAACAATTATTATATCTAATAACATACAATCAGTCGTGACAAAAGGTAAATTACATAAGTTTGGCATTCTCATAAACAATTTTAGATATTACAATATTTGAGAAATACTAAGTCGTCAGGTTCTGAATAGTTACTACACTTAATTTTTCCTGAAAATAAAACCTTAAGGAACTATTCCTTCCCTTAACTACATATTCTATGGTCCAACTTTTACGTCCAAATCACAGTATATGATAACATCTCGACTCTGGTCATCATAATTTGGGGGAAGAAATTGAGAAACATACCAAAGGAAGCCTGTCCCATTGCAACTACCAAAGTCAATGGCAAACTGTTGCATAAATTAGTTATTTGGTAGCAACAACAGTTAGAACCATCGACTACACAACATAGATTACCCGAAATTCTGTTAATTTAAATAGGAAGAAAACAGTAGGTTAGATTTTTGGGTTGAATTACATTGGGTTTTGTATGGTCAGTTCGTAACGACAAGGGAGCAGTTGCAATGGCCTGTTTCTAACCCGATTATCGATTAATTCGTTTGTATTGCCAGTAGGACTAGTGAACTATTTACCGATTGACACATCGCCCAATGAACAATAACCAAGATGTCGACCCTTATTGGTCCCTCAAGCTCCTGACTGACTGACTAATCAAAAAGACGAAAGTAGAAGGCAGATCAGTCTTCTACTGCACTCAATTTTATTTTGACTTAAAACCACAAAATAATGTCAGTCAGTCAGTAACAACGTAGAACTTCGTACGTACGTACATCAGTTCGAGTTGCCACACCACATTAGCACAGAGATGCAGTTTTCGATTCAAATCCCGTAGTGGTAGAGGTGGTAAGAGTATAAGCAGTAATCGGAAACATTAGGGTTTGAAGATGAAATGTCTTGACCACACAGCAACATAAGCAGAAAAACTTTAAATGTGTATATAACTTGATCATAAATGATCCAAGACCAGAATGATATTTCATACACATAGTTCCCTTTATCATTTTGAAAAGAGCAAGAACAAAGATTCTAGCAGAATAGCATGAATTCATTTTATTTCGTAGGTTCTCGTCAGCTGCTTACAACCTGTGATATTTAAAAATCATAATTGCATAATGGATTTAAATTGCTTACAGAATATTGTAAATATATACCTAATGTGAAAGAATATTCTACAACATTAATTGTGACAACAGTTCAAAAATCGGTTAGAAACAATTGATTACATAATGAATAAACATTGATAGGAATACAGTGAGTAGAGTTCAGTTGAAAGATTATCCATTTGAAAGATAGTTGAAAAAATGAAATAGAGTTAATGATGTAATAAATGCAACAGAAAAAAGGGAAAAAAAAAGAAAAAAAATTTTAAGGTTCAGTGAAGGAATATTTGTCACCAGGGTAAGGAAAGATTAACCACCGTCTCCTTTTGAATACATAGGTCAGGTTTTTGTCGCCTGATGGCAATGGCTTCAGCAAACTTCAGAAGACTGGAGTTTGGCTGCTTACTAATCACCCTAAAGGATTGTAAGGTATCTACCTGATGTCCTGTATCAAGGAGATGTTTGGTGATCGCACTGTTCAGAGTCTTTCTTTCCCTTGTTCTAAGACTTTTTGGATAAGCAAGTAATCAATTAATGATGTCTGGAATGATAAGGAGTCACAACGATTTATGGATCAAACGAAGGCTTAGAGATGGGAGAACATAGGAATGCAATAATTTAAGTACTTAATGAAGAACAAAAATATAAATAACTTCAGATAGAACAGTTCCGAAAGTTCGAATTTTCTAATACTCGTCCCGTTATAACACAATTGAACCCAAATCTTGGTTAGATTGTTATGGGATCCTTGTAGTTTTATTGTTTTTTGACCAGCCAAAACTTTTGACTATTTTTTGGTAGGAGGTTTATTCGTCAAATTAGAATTGAAAAACCCAGCTATTAAGTTTCGAGGACATTGCTGTATAACAGTGGAACTAAACTACGGAAAACATAGATTAGTATTGACTATTCGTCTCCAAACACGACCACGTGTCGATGAACCCTATCAAAAACTTTCCATCGCAAGTCACTGCTATAACATCTCCAGATAACTGGGCAAAGTTTCAATCAATACGAATTGGAACCAACTCGTCAACTTTACGCCCGTTAGGTATATATGACTGGTTAAATCGACATTTAAGCACAGTGTAGTACGAGTGCGTATCTATACATGCTGGCACATTAAAAGTGAGAAAATGCCAAGAACTGTAAAGTAAGAAAAAATAATAATGGGATATCGATTTTAAAGCCAAACTTTGGTTTTTTTAATAGAATCTGACCAGAGGGTGAATGGAAATTAACAGGTTTCTTGAATTATCTAAACGTTGACTGCATATGAACCACGAATTTTCATGCAAGATGTTTTCGATAAACTCATATTGGCAATTTGACTGATGATTGCACTATCGTTTTCGGCAGGATCTAGATTGTCTGAATCAAGTCACTTATGTAGGCTGAAAGGTAGAATGCTAAGCATTGAACTTATCAAGAGTTCAGTTAGTCAGCCATCTACAACGTAGGACCAGGCACATATATGCATCGGTCCAAGTTGCCACACCTCATTAGCACAACAAGATAAACACCAAATTCATAGAAGTAGTTACTTCAATGGTAGTAATATATAAAAGAAAGATTGCATATGAGGATATGATACAGGAAGAAATAATTAGTTCGTAGAGAGAAAGGTGTAAAGTAATTTTAGTGTCACGGTTTAAGGAAAGACAAATAGTGTATACACCTACCCCAATGTGACCGATTCTGAGCCATGTCACCCAGTCAGCTACAACGTAGGATCAGGCACATATATGCATCGGTCCAAGTTGCTATACCTCATTAACACAACAAGGACACCGGATTCATAAAAGTAGTTAATTCAAAGGTGGTAATATATAAAAGAAAGATTGCAAAAAGGATATAGAACATGTCACCCAGAGTCTCCAACCATTGGTTAAGATAGTTGTGCTGACCCCAACCAAGTAGTCTGAATCTACCAACATGGCTCAGACCAGAAGTTAGTGAATTCAAGCACTGATGTCACTTCTTGGTTTGACTTTTTCCATCCATCTTCAACACTAGTCAGCATTGGATATCGTGGTAATCGGTGGTTGGGCATGATAATAAGTGACCCCACCATTTCAGTCGAAGATTCACAACCTCATCGTTCTCTAATACTCTGTGTCTAACCTCATTATTACTTTTCTGGTGATCCCAGAAGATGAGAGCAATATTAATGTGATCAAATATTAGTAAATTACGAGTATCTTCTACTCTTAATAGCCGAGTTTTGTAGCCGTAAAGTAGAACAGAACGAACTGTTGAGCAATATACTCATTCCCTAATTGACAAACGGATATCTCGCCTTCGTCATAGGTGATGTAAGTCCAAGATAAATGAAGTTGTCGACGCGTCCAACAACTTTACTCCCTATCATCAAATCAGGTGTGGACGCAGGCCAGTCATGAAGCAACAACTTTATATATATATATATATATATATATATATATATATATATATATATATATATATATGTATATATATATCCTGAAACTGCAATGGTCTTATCATAAACTGGCAGTGTTAAGACATGGGGAGTAACACAAAATGATAAAGAAATATTAAAGATATTCAGGATGCTGAATATCTTCGAAGATCGACATAGGTCAGCAGAATTCTTGTTTGATAAGTGCCTCTACCGAAATGTTTCATACTCCAGCGCTACTCATTGTGGAAAGTCCCGAGTTTTCCAGTGATCATCCCTGACTACGAATAATCGTAGTTGCTAAAATTAGCAACTTCGCAGAGTAAACTTTCAAGGTTAAAATGTATTTGCGCATTAGAGGCATCTTACTAGATCCTTAACCATAAGGACTAGATAAATCAACAAAGTGGACTTCGACAAATTAAATTAGTGACTCGATGACATGCATAATTTTGTCTATTGTCTTTGCTGACATTTCTGTAATGTCAGAACAAAGTTTATAAATATTACATAAGTCTAGAATCATTTGGTACTTTATTGAACAATATGGTGATAAATGAATAAATCCAACCTTTTCCATTCAATGATTTCTTTGAAAGGAGTACTTTTACTTGCTTCTGTGCCTTTCGCCTCACTTTATCTTGATTAGAGGCTAGAGCTTTAGCTAATTTACGAACAACGTCCATCTAGCAACAACGCACGCGACGTCAAAACAACCGCTGTCAGCAATTCGAACTTGACGGGCTGAAATAGAGAGCTGTTTGTTCAATGAGATCTATGTATGGATAATAAGTGAGAGTTCTCAAACGCGAGAGAGTTTCCAAAGAACTTAAAGGAATCAACGTTGAGTTTAATAACAAATACGTGCGTTTTTCGAACAAAAAGTATTGGTGAGTAGAAAAGCCAAAGCGAACAAAGTACCCGTGACATATAGGTTTTCACATCAAGTCATCAATTCTTGGAACCTGTTACCCGAAGTAGTGGTGTCTTTGTCTTCAATTGGCGCATTCAAGTGAAGGCTGAATAGTCACAGAAGCATACTAGAAAAGGAATAACATAAGCCGTAGGCCTTCTGTCCTTACTACACTAATCTGAATCTGTCTTGACGTTCAAGTGATTCAAATGGTTTTTGACGGGATACAAGAAGCTTTCGCCTAATGGGCATCCGTATCTGATAACAGTGAACCACCGATAACTTTGCGCAGGAACCTAGGCATTTTATCGACGAAATAGGAAACGAAGTTGGGAAATTATATTAAGATACCATAAATAGACCTTAGAAATATGTCAAGTTTTCTCTTAAAGAACTCCTGGAAGTCACTTGAACCAGCTCAGCCGGCAGCAAATTCCAGCATTGGACTGCTTTTGGGGAGTAGAAGGTGTGTCTTCAGACCGTACAGCTGTGCTTTGTTTCCAGTTTTTGGGTTTTTCCCTTTAGATTTGTGTTGGAACTAAGCATAAGTAGGTGTTTAAGGGAATGTTCATAAGTATTTGGGATGCTGTATGCTATCATAAGGTCATCTCCGAGGCGCTCTTCATAAGGTTTGAATTCGAGTTCCCGGTACTCTAAATAGGGACGAATAAAACTGTTGAAGATAGTATGAAAAGTTCTACCGTCGAACTGGTCAAAAATGCGCTCCAATGTTACCAGTGCAAGGCTTGCTCGAAAGGCATTTTTGTCACGGTTATCGTAGGTTACCAACACTCCTAGAGCTTTTTCAACTTGGGGTACCTCTAGAGGGGAGTTAACTAAGTTGTAGCTGTAGTCTGAAAAATGTCTCAAGTAGACTACTCTACACTTTGAAATATTAAATTTATATCCGTTGTTATCTGAACAACTTCGAAGACCAGTCAAATCCTCTTCGTTGCAAACTTCTCTCCGGAGTTTTACCTCATCAACGAAAAGTAGAAAACCCCACGATACCTGTTGTGGAAGACCCCCTATATAAATCAAGTAAAGAAGTCTTAGTACTAAACCCCGAGGGGCCCCACCAGGACATTCCATAGCCAGAGAGAAACTGAATTTAACCCTAATCCTTAAATGTCGATTGAAGGTGATTTGAAATCTAATCAGTTAGGCGTACTGATACAGCATATATGGTTGACCCTATCATAAGCTTTTGAGAAGCCAAGGTATATGACATCGACCTTCACCTTGCCATCAAGGATAGTTGTCCATCTGTTCACCACAGTCAGCAGGTTCTGTACACAAGAGTCACTTTTTCCGAGACTATACTGTAGAGCTGAAATGTTATTTATGGATGTTAAGTAGTCCTGTAGACCTTTGCATATCGGATACTCCATAATTTTTGAGTATATGGAGTAAAGTGTTACCGGCCGGTAGCTTGAAGGTTCGCTGCGTCGACCTCCTTTGAATATTGGCGTTGTATGAGTCAGGTTTTAATTTTCTGATAATATGCCTCAGCTTAGCGAATGTGAGAACATCACACTAAATGGTGTTGCCAAGTTCGAAGCTTATTTCCTCAGTGTTGCAGAAAGAACTATATCCTTTTTTAGGTGCTACAGTTTCCGGTACATCACGTCAGCCGTCAGGTTCACTTCCTGTATAGTTGTAGATGAAGCGTCCATCAGTAAGGTTTGTGTAGGTCGGTTGAAATGTCCGAGAGTATTGTTCTGCCAGAAGGTTAGCCGCATCACCGTCGTTTTCGGTCGGGCCATTATGACCTTATCATTGGAAGACTCCAGTTTTGGCTTGTCGAAAAGAGGCTGCATGACGGAATAAGCTTTTGGAATTAGAGATAAATTTATCGATAAGCTCTATCTGGTGATGAAGCCTGTCTTCTTCCCAATGGGCATCCACATCAAGTTGAAGGTGAACTTCCCGTTCACCTGCTGTAGATTGTTCTGCAAAGCTGGCACATCCAACCGCTTGTAATTCCAACGCCAGTTGCCGATAGGATGTCTTAGCTCAGTTTCGCAGATAAAAATGAAGCCTATAACAGCATGATGGCTTTTCCCCAGGGGAGACAAGATTGAGAGTTTGTCACTTAGGAATTCTCCGTTTGTCTAAGCATGACGGCATCTGACTGTTTCTCCAACGAGTTACCGACTTGAAGTTTTCAAATAGTCCCAGATCTTCAATGAGGTTGACAAACCGAGCTTCAGTGGGTTTTACCTCCAATATACGCGTGTTCCACGAAACTGACTTTAGGAAGACTGAAGTCCCCTAGAATCAGGATGTGAGTAAACCGAGACGAGGATAATCCTTCCAGCACACGATGTCAGCAGTGGGCTTTCTGTAGATGCCTCCAAGTAGACACCTCGAGGTAGTAGTCAATCATACTGAGCGCCATACGGATTCATCGGATTTATTGGTTGTGCAATTTATGCACTTCCAAGGAAGATTGAAGACACAAGGTTACTCCACTCTCCATTCCTGTTTTCCTGTCGTCGCAAAACAAAGACATCCCGAGTATTGCTAACTCCTGGTTCGTAAACTGAAAAGATATCCATGTTTCAGATATTTCTATCAGATGAGTGTTATAGGTATTACTGAGTTCACGCAGCTCATTCATTTTATTTGGTAAACTCGCGGCGTTTATGCTTTCAATTTGAGATGCTTGAGCTTCTCTGTCCTGTTTATTTGTATGAGTCTCATGTAAATGGACAGATAACCTACCTACACTGGTTTTTACAGGTCAGTAACCCCTGTCATTTCTACGTTCTTTTCATCATCTTGGCAGTCCACAAGTGGAACGGTCCGCCCCAACTTGCTCTCGTGCTTGATCCTGGCATTGTGTGGCCTATTCGGATGCATATGGGTTCCACTTGATAACCGGCGTCTGTTAGTATGGAAGGTCTTGAAAGTTGCAGCCGCCGCATGTGAGGAAAGGGGAGTAATCCTTACCAGCCGGGGTCTAAAATCCACGTCCTTAGCTAGTCTCACCAATTGTTCAGCTTCTTAGACGGTGACACCCGGTTTTTTAACTTTGTTGACGGGGGTTCGGTCGCCTTCAGACTTTTGGGGAACACCGTTGCATCCATGGCCCCTGTGCTGGGTGGCCCAAGGTTGCTAAAGGAATCTAGTACCGTCAGTGTTATGATGGTGTTGAGCCTCAGCATTTCCCCACTAGTGTTGATGCATGTTCCGTCAATACTAGTGTTGTTGAGGTCCATCTTCTTTGCTTCACTATGCGTCTTTGTCTGTTGACCCGTTTGAGGACTGCATTTTTTGGGTTTGCTGACGTTTTCCGCAGACCTGAGAAGAGAATGATGGCATTGCTTGGCGAAAACCCAGCATTCGTGTTGCACGTGCCACATACCCCCACCTATGATCCGACCTGCTGAGTCTGTTGTAAGCAGTTACTGTAAGATCTGTGCATGCTTCGTGAAAACAACCTGATATTCATACACTCTGATCCCACACTAAATCTACATACGAGGATGAAAATAAACACGGTATGCTATAAATTTTCGATTGCTTAGTTAAGAGAAATCTAGGTGGAGCTCTAAATCTAGCCATCTGTCGAAAACCAACACACTCGAATTGTTATATCAGCTTAAGTTTAGAACACCCATTCAGTGCATAAATGTCTCCGTCCCTGTATCTTGCGGATCAAACAGGATTATTACATATAAGGAAAATTCTAAAAAATGGCGAAATAAAACAATTTATATGTCACAACTTAGTGATTTTCCTGTGGGTATCATTAAAAATGCAGTAAAACGAGACAATTTACTGCTAAACAGTAGTTTAAATGACGTGTAATGGATAAGTACTGTATTATTGTTATTATTATTCACAAACATCTTATGGATAAACAAGTGTTGTGAAGAAACCATTTTATGCTACATTTATAGTACGACAGAAGTCTGAAAAGTCTTAACTAACACAAAGTCAAAGGACTCTACAATGCAAACAACACCGTTTAAGATGACTCACTTCATAAAAACACAGAATCGTGTCTGCACTCTAGGATATATTGGCTGTGATGCCTTCTATATTGGGTTGTCATCTCGT